AGTATTTCTTGGGGGTATGGTCTTAGCCACCTTTTGGACCCCTTTTGCTTGTGTCCTCTCCTCTACTTCACCCAAGCCAGCTATCATGGTCATTACCTCATGTACAGCATGACCAATGTATGGGGCCAGTATGGCCATCAGTGACCCAAAAGATGTTGATAGGGCATTTTGCAGCACTATGTCTCTCATGCTGCCTGTAAAGTTTTCATCATCTGGCCCATGAGTGTTCACATTAAACATGGACTGCTGCATCCCCAGCTCCCAAATGATTTGGACCAACTCAACATATGTTTGCCATTTACTAACAATCTTGGGCAGTTCTCCAGCATTTGCCCACATGGTTCGGGCAGCTGCATTCACCCAGTCCAGAGAGGAGTGATTAACTCACCCTTATGCATATCTGCGGCTATCCTGCAGCGCTGCCTCAGGGATGGGTGTATGGTAATGGAGGCCAACTTCTCCATCTCCTCACCAGAGCATACCACCCTATCCAGCCCTAGGTCACATAAATACAACAGCGAAGCATTCAGGGTCTCCCCATGTTTCTGCCTGAACTGTCTCCCTAAGTCAACCAGTTCAGCCTGGGTATACAGGACATAGGTGGTGAACTGGGTCACCTGTGGATCACCCACCAGTTGTCCATCCAGTCCCATAGGCTGCTCATGTCTCAATTTCTCATGCACAACAGGTTGTGCCTGGAGATGCATGGTTTCCCCCAACTCACCACTGGGTTGGTCATCTTCCCTGGTGTGAGAGGCAGGAGTGGCCAGTCACTGCATGTCATCCTCCAGGATAATCATCCTTGCTTCCAACAACTCTGCTTTCTGCTGCAAATCTCGATCAGTTTGCAGCATAGTTAGCAGTAGCCAGGCTCCGGTCAGCAGAAAAGTGGCCGCCAGGCACCACATGCTCAAGGATAGCCACATTTCCTCCTCCTCCCAAGGGGTTTTGCATTGTAGTACCTGATCTATGCTGCCTTGCAGTACAGTGTGAAGCAACCAGATCCCAGTCAACAGGAATATGGCCATAGGGCACAACATGTTCAAAAGTAGCCACATTTCCTCCTCCTCCCAAGAGCTTTTGGCTCCTGTACCTGCTCAAAATCCTTTCACAGACTATGCCAATTTTCGGGCTCTTTAACCTGCCCATAATCCTGCTGATTGGGCCAACTGTCGAGCTAAGGCTAATGTTGGAGTCCTGCCAACATAGCCAATTGTCGAGCTGAGTCTGAGTCTGGAGCTCACAGACCTCTCAAGCCTGTTGTCCAGACTGGGTCACAAACCCTTCACACGCAGACCACCAAGGTAAGTAACTGGCAAAAAGGTCCTTGGAAGCAGTAGGATGGGGAGCATGGCTGTGCAGGGTGGATGCCCAAAGCAGATGCCAGCCAAGGTCGTGGCACTACACAGGCACACTAATTCTACCCACACATGCACAATTTGCTTACAAAGAATGTGCCACACCACACCCAACCAGACAGGCAGGCGAGGGGGCCTGATTCAATTATTCTATTTTCCCAACAATGTAATATACAAAACTTAACTGTTAACCATAGTCACCCTACTGTGCAACACCAGAACTTATTCCTCCTATCTAATTGTAATTTTGTATCCACTGGCCAACCTCTCACTGTTTCTCATCCCTCCTCCCCTCCCCAGTCTCTGGTAATCACTGTTCTGCTCTCTGTCTTTATAATATCAACTTTTGTTTTAGATTCTCTATATGAGTAAGATCATGTAATATTTGTCTTTCTGTGCCTGGCTTACTTCACTTAACATAATCTACTCTAGGTCCATCCATGTTGCCACAAGGACAGGATTTTATTCTTTTCTATAGTTGAATAGTATTCCATCAAGTAAATATACAACATTTTTTATCCATTTATTTATTGTTGGACAGTTATAACTGAGAGATATTCCATAACTTGGCAATAGTAAATAGTGCTGCAATAAAAATGGGAGTGCAATAATTTTTTTACATGACTGGTTTCATTTCCTTTGGGTATATATCCAGTAGTGTGATTGCTGGATCATACAGTAGTTCTGTTTTTAATTTTTTGTGGAACCTGCATACTGTTTTACACAATAGCTGTACTAATTTACAGTCTCACCAACAGTGTAGGAGGGTTCCCCTTACTCCACATCCTTGCCAGCATTTGTTATTCTCAGTCTTTTTGATGATAGCCAGTTTAACTGGAGTGAGGTGGTATCTCATTGTTGTTTTGATTTGCGTTTCCCCAATGATTAGTGATGCTGAGCATTTTTTCATATGCCCATTAGCCATTTGTATTCTTTTTCCTCTTTTTGTCTATTTAGATCCTTTCTTGATCCTTATTCTCGATTTCTTTTTCCTCTGTTGAGAAATGTCTGTTTAGATCCTTTGCCCATCTCTTAATTGAGGCATTTTTGTTTTGTTCATTTGTTTTGTTTTGTTCGTTTGTTTTGTTTTGTTTTTTCTTTTCTTTTCTTTTTTTTTTTTTTTTTTTTTTTTTTTTTT